CTTCCAGGTAGCCTCAGTGGGCATTTCATCTGCCAGCTTGGGTTACATGTCCATCCCTGACCCAGGGGCTACAGGGCTCTGGTTGGCCAAACCTGGGTCAGGTGCCTACCGCTCCCACTCCCCAATGGAAGGGGAGTAATGAATCCCCAAAGGAAAATTTCCATCCAGAAAAGGGATGGAAATTGAGCTGGGCGATGGGAATGAGGAACGCATGTAAAATTTGGGAGCAGGAGAGAGGGGGGCCTTAGCCCCTTCCTTCACCAGAACTCTTGTCTAGGGGAACAACAGAGCCTGAGGGTGGTGGAGTGGGTCCCTACAGCCCAGGGAAGGTCTGTACCCTTCGCAGTAGCTGCCAACTTCCCACCTGACGTGCTTTTAACCAGGTTGCAGTGGCGGCCATCCTGCCAACTTTTCGGCCTGTCCCGCACGAGAGGGGGGCGTTTATCTGAGGAGGACCCCACGCCGCCGTCCTGCCCTAGAGCGCCAGGGTTGGACAAGAGTTAGGTCCAACACAAGCACTACCCCCAAGCCCCCCGGAAGACGCTGCCTGAGTTCCCCACGTGCCAGGCGCGGGGACATGGGCTGAGCAATGGGGATGCCCACCGTCCGCGGGCGCGCAGGGGCGTGGAGGAGCCTAGACCCGCGGGGAGGCCAAGCCCGAGCAGGGGAGGGCAGGCTTCCGGCGTGAGGGGCCGTTCGCGGAGACTCTGGACAAGAGAAGGCTTAAATCTCACAGCCAGACAACTTTTCCAGGAGGTTTTCAACAGGATGTGGGGGGGAGGAGGGACAGGGCCCCGAGACCGACCCGCAGAGGCCGCCCTCTCCACGTGACCCCAAACTCCTGTCCCGCTCTGCTCGGCCTGGGACCTCGCTCCTTGGCGAGTGTCACGCTAACCTCTCTGCTGCCCCAGCCGGGCTAGGAGCACCCGCACCCATCTTCCGCGATTCCTCTTCCCTCTCTGCCTTAATCGGCTGTCATTCAGTCTGCCTGGATCCATCCGGGGCCACCGCCTGGTCCCTTCATATCCCCCCTCCCTCATACCTTGTGGCTCTTCCTTTTATCCTTCCAGAACCTTCCGCTGTCAGGCCGGCCCTCTGCTTTGGGGGCCCCCAGCAGAGCCCGCCCGGGGTAGGTCTCGATCAAGGAAGGGGCGGGACCATCGGATACCAGTTGTGACCCTTGTCCGAGTTTCCTTTCCCCTGGGCCGGGGTGTCTCACTTAATGAACAGCCTTAGGGGACCTGTGGGCGGGCGGCCTGACCACCCCAATTCCGACCAGCGGATCGGACGCGCAGAGCAACGCGCTCTCTTTCGCTAGCTGCGGGAAACCGGAGCCCCTGCGGGTTCTTAGTAGGGCCAGGACCCAGTACAGCGCCAGGAGTCTAAGGACGCGCTGGTGAAGAAGGGGCTGGACGGGCGACGCGGCTCCAGAGAGGTGGGGACGGGGTCGGGTCAGCCACCCTCCAAGCTAGCGGCGGACCCCTTCCAGCCCCCCTCCCCACCCCATCCCTGGCCTGAGCCCCAGCCGCTTCCGCCCTGGGCCGCATGTTTTTTTCTAGTCCAGGCGCGCTGGACTGGGTCCTTAGCTCCGCCCGTCCGGCGTTGTGTTTCTGTGACTCTTGGGTCCAGGGCTTTCTGATTCCTATTTACAGACCTGGCCCCGCGTTAGGCCTCGGTCGGCCTACCTTACCCCCATCAGCACTGGGGAGAGCCACCTCCACTGCCCAGTGAACACGGTGTGTTGATCACCAAGGGGTGGCCGCCCCCTCAATGCCCCGGAGGGGGCAGGCATCCACTCTCCTATCAAGTGCCAGCAACCAAGCCTAGATGGCTGCTCCCACCCTCCAGCAGCTGTGCAGGAGGCCCTGGTGCTCTCATGACCCTGACAACTTGGCATTACCTAACTCTCCATCCATGTTTCTTAGTGGCTTCATTTCCTAGACGGTTTGAACCCCTTTTCTTCAAGACACCCCCCCCCACACACACACACATACACACATAGCTCCCAACACCCCTTGGCTAGGCTGTAGGCTTTTGCAGGAAGGGCTAAAATGAGGTGATGTCCAGAGTCTGGGGGTTTTCCTGAGGGGGTGGCCAGGGAAAGCCCCACAGACATTTAGGATGGGAGATTGTTATGTGAGGCAGGGGGAGGAGCCAGGAGAAAGTCACCAGGTGGAATGAGTAGGCAATTAGGACCTGAAGGCAGGGAGTGTGTCCCTCTGGTGTGAGGGAGTGGAAAGAAGCGGCAGCTGGGTCCCAGGGCAGTGTGGCCTGGAGGCCACCACCCCCTCCCCATGACCCTGTCTCCCCCCACCCCCCTTGGGCCTAGGTCTGGAGGACTTTGATCCCTTGTGATCCTCAATCTCAAGGGTAGCTGTGTTTCTGGCTGGCCCAGCACCCATAGCTAGGCTTGGCTCCACACCCCAAAGAAAATACATGAACTTCAGAAAACCATTGTCAAGGGATGGGATTATTTTGGGGAGGGAGGAAGGGGGAACTGAGGAGGTGGTTATAGCGCACCAGACAGGAATAAACCATATCAGAAGACCTTCTGCCACCCCTGCTTCCAGAGTCCCCCAGAAGCTCTCTGCTCAGGTCTCTTCCTGCTTCCCAGTCTTTCACCTCCACCACTGGCTGTAGTCTCTTTCTTGACATTCCCCACCCCGCAAGCTGATACCCCCTAAAGGCAGCCGAACAACTAGCACACCTAGGGGCCATCACTTGGGAGGGGGCAATGAAATCACCCCACTTCAGCCCCATTCAAAGATGAGGAAACTGAAGCTGGTCATTTGCCCAAAGATGGCAGGGTGGTAGATAGTTGGTCTGATTCAGGCATCAAGCTTCCCCCACTCACGGAATGTGAATGCCATGCCTGGAAGATGGGGAGGGGGCCAGTGGGCACAGGGGAGGTTGTGCCCAGGGAGAGGGGAAGGACAGAAGGGTATCTCCGTGGGGACAGGGTCTGCCCAGTTCGATCTGCCCCCCTGTCCCCACTCTGGTCTCTGAGGGCTCTTTTGGCTCCAGTTTCCCTGGGAGTCCCACTCAGCTGCTCTCCACCCCTGCTGCCTGGCTGCCTGGTAAAATGTCATCAAGATTGGTAGCATGGGGCCGGGGATTCCCCTGTTATGACGGCTGGTCATGGGATGCTGACTCACTGCCTTCTATCCAGACCACCTGACCACGCAGAGGCTGGCGGAGAGGGCCCCGCCAGGGGATTCCCCTGCAGCAACAGTGTTTACCTTCCTGGCCTTGGGGAAGGGCAGGGGGAGGGCCTATGCTTTGCAGCCAGGCATGCTGGGAAGGCGGCAGCTGGGGCTCCCCAGGGGCGGGGGTCTCCAGGCCTGTTTCCCAGGAGCCATTTCCTGCCACCCGGTTTCTCCCTGAATTCTCCATACCTCCCTGCAAACCCACCACAGTCTCAGAGAAAGCCAGGAAGTCCTGCCAATGGCTTCCATTTCCGCCACTTGTTTGGACAGGGCCTGCGCCTTAAGGCTTTCCTGAACCTGGGATCCGGGTTCCCCAGAGCCACAGGGCTTTCCTTGTGTACCCCCACCCCACTTAGCGAGGGACAGTGTAGCTATGGGGGCGGGAAGCCTGGCTCTTGGTCCAGTGGGCGCGGGTTGTGAGGCTTCTAGGCTGCTCACACCCTCGGACACCTGTGGGCTGCACTGCCCCTTCTCTGTCCCCTGACCCTGTGTGCATGACGATGGGCAGAGGGTCATTTTTCAGGCTCACAGAGCGGGGGTGCAGGGAGAGCCTGAGAGGGGACCATCCTCTCTGCAGAGCTTCTCTGTGTAGGGGTGCACAGCCTTGCCCACTCTGGAGCCCTCTGGAACACCAGCCACATCTGTGGACAGGTCCCTGCTGTGTTCCCACAGACAAATCACCTTTGCACCTGACTAATCAAACCCACCCAACCTCTGGGGGTGTCTGTTTCCCATCCCTTGAGGTTACCTGCTCCCACCAACCCCACCATGAAAGGATATGACTTTGACTCAGCAGGTCTGAGCTCCTAGTCACAGGACCCCAACTGGAAGGATTCATAGGGTGACATACCTGTTCACCTTCTTCCACTACCTTCCTCCAAGCCTTGCGAACAGGTCACTTTTGTCACACAAAGCACGTTTCTTGGTTCCTAGCTGGAAGGCTCTTGGTTTGAACCCTGGGCTGCCCATGAGGCCAACAGGCCTGAGACCCCTACAGGGCCTTGGGCACCACCTGCTGAAATGAACCCTGTGCTGGCAGGTGGGTGTCCAGGCACCCATGGGCAGTCTCGTGGGCTGCAGTGAACATTTGGTGACAGCTGAGGCTCCAGGAAGCCTTAATTGGTCCTCCATCCTGGTGGGGGTGGGAGTTTCTGTGCACTTCCAGCACCTCTAAGACCTACCCCCTATTAAACCGGGAGCTCCTCTGGTGCTTGGGCTTGAGGTGGGGGTCTGTTCCTCAAACCAATAAGGGGCTGTCATGGAGAATGCTGAGGCGTAGAGTGGGCTGCAACCTGTGAAGCTGAGTGAATGGGGGGCTACGAGTGGCAGGGTAGAGACAGCACCTCGACGGCCAGTTTGTTCTGACCTGCCCAGGAGCCCAGGAGCCTTCTGGCTTCGGGTCTCTGTTGTCCCCCTCCCTCCTATGTTGGGCATACCCGGCGGCATGGAACCGTTCTGCTGAGTCACCGTCCAGGCCCAGGCCTGGAAGGGGTCTGGGGCGGGACCTCTGTGGGTCCATTTCCCCAGGCACAGAGGCCGGAGTCCAGACCTAGATGTTGAAGTGTGCGGTCGGCCTCTTGGGGTCCCGGGTGCCCTGAGGGAAGTGAGGAAAGGGGTCGACGATGAGGCGGCCCGGGAGACCCTGAGGGAACGGCTGAGCCGGCGGCAGGGAGGAGACAACTAGCACAGGGGGCCCGCAGGGCGGCTCCCGCGCCGCGGCTCTGGCGCGGAGGCGGTGCGTGCACGTATAGGCCCCGCCCACAGGAGGCGGGGCGGGCTTCCAGCTTCCCCTACAAAAGCCGCGCGCCGGGGGTCGCCGTTGCGCTGTTAGATCTTGTTCACCAACCGCTGAGTATGGCGTCTCTTACGGTGAAGGCCTACCTTCTGGGCAAGGAAGAGGCGGCCCGCGAGATCCGCCGCTTCAGCTTCTGCTTCAGTCCGGAGCCCGAGGCGGAGGCCGAGGTCGCGGCGGGCCCCGGGCCCTGCGATCGGCTACTGAGCCGGGTGGCCGCTCTGTTCCCCGCGCTGCGGCCCGGCGGCTTCCAGGCGTACTACCGCGGTGAGCGGGCCGGGCCCCCTCCGGAGCGGTGTGGCATCCTGACGCAGGCCTGTCCTGTGGGGCGGGTGGGTGCCCGGGTGCCCCTTTCCTCTTTACAAACCTGGTGGCGTCTGTGGGGATCTGCTCTGGCCGCTCAGTGCGTGGGTCCCCAGTGCGACCTCGGGTGCCAGCCTAGTGAGCAGGAGTGGTAACCAAGGCCGGCCCTTGTGGGGCCAGGCGCTGCCAGGCTTTCTCAGCGGATCTCAGGCCTGGGACACATGAGGTCCCGTGTCCGTCGGACCCCCCCCCCGCCCCGCCATGATGTTGCAGATCTTGGCAAGGGCGCCCTGGGGCGTTCTCGTCGGCTCGCGCGGCAGGCAATGGGTGGTCAGGCGCGTACTCAGGTTACGCTGACATTTTGCTGCTGCCCAGTCTGAGCCTGCCTTTTTCCGGTGGGGGTTCATGTCGTGCCCCGGAAGAGTCTGGGCCGGCAGGGGAGAAGAGTGATGCGGGTAAACAAGTGTGGGGAAGTGTGGGGGGGTGTAGGGTTCTCGGGGCTGTGTGGCCTGGTGGGAGAGCCCTTGGCAGGGGGAGGGGAGGAGAGGTCGGGGACAGAACACAGACCGCCCAAGGCCAAGGCTGAGCCCAGACTTTGTACTACTGGCAGTGGGCAGAGGAACAAGATCAAAACCTTCAGAGGTGTCGGTGTGGGACTAGAGTCCAGCAACTAGCCCAGTGTCTTGACTGGTGGCTGCTAGGGGTGGGGTGGGGAGGTGTGGCTGGGAAGGAGGTGGGCAGCCAAGGCCCGCCCCTGGGCAGGGCAGTGCCGGCACCTCCCTTAGGAGTGCTGGCCAGGCCCGCTCCTGGTTTGTTTTATTTTGTTTAAACAACTTGATTGAGCTATAATTCACATACCATATAGTTCACCCATTTAAAGTGTACAATTTTTAGCATAGTCAGAGATTCCTGCAACCATGGTCATAATTTTAGAAAATTTTCATCACCTTTAGCTATCCTCCCATCCCCATCTTCCCATTCCACCCAGCCCTAAGCAACCACTAATCTTTTCTTTTTCTCTACGGATTTTCCTTTTCTGAACATTTCATATAAACATATAAATGGGCACATACAACATGTAGTCTTTTGTAACTGGCTTCTTATACTTAGCATAATGTTTTTGTAATGTAATTTTTTGTTGCTAAGTAATATCCTATTGTATAGACATACCACTTTTGTTTATCCATTTGTTAATTGATGGGTGTTTGGGTTGTTTTCTCCTTTTGACACTGTCCTTGTTCTTATGGTCCAGGCTGCGTCTGGTGGCCCACAAACCTGGCCCAGCCTGCAGACGTATGATGTGGTTTGGCCTATCTGGTGGCACTTCAAAACCACTTGAGCTAACATCTGAAAAGGAGACTACATACAAATACATAATTTTAGCTTCTTTGGGGGAGGAAGCAAGCAGATGTACTTGTCTACTTTACTCTCTTAAACCACAAGAGGCCCAGGAGCTTTGAAGGGGCTTTGAAGCAGGTCACCCGTAGTTGAAGATGGGCCTTGGCCTGGGCTTGGTCAGATGTGGACCGAGGCAGCACCTATGAGAAGGAGTAGCTGGCCCAGAGGCAGAGTGGCAGGTGGCCAGCTGCCCCTGTGCACACATACTCTACCCACTGCGTACACTTCGTGCCTGGATTGGAGTACTCACGTTCCAGGCAGTGGCAGAGTGAGTGGCATTCTGGCCGAAGCCTGCTCCCCCTGCCTCAAACACGTGGGCTTCAGTTACAGCCCTTGTCAGCAGTGGTGTCCATCTGAGAAGCCCTGGGTGCTCATGTCATATGCTGTCTTTTAAACAACCTAGATGAGGACGGGGACTTGGTTGCCTTTTCCAGTGATGAGGAGCTGACGATGGCAATGTCATATGTGAAGGATGACATCTTCCGTATTTACATTAAAGGTAAGGGGTGGCTCTGGGGTGCTCCCTGCTCAGTAAAAACTGCTGGCTTGAGGTTATGGAGAAATTCCCCCAGTGAAGGGGGAGAGGAGCTGCCGGCTGTGTCAGGGACATGGTCATTGCTGTGCTTGACCTGAGAAAGGAGGCCATGTCCAGCACAGTGAGGGGCGGAGGAGCTGGGTTCACTCTTCATGGTGCCAAGACCAAGTGCTGTGGGCTGGGGGCAGCTTTGGGTCACTGTGGGGTTTATTTCAGTGAAAGGCAGGCCATAGCTGTGTAGACAAAGCCATCTTGCCCAGGTAACGTGCAGGTACTGGGAACCTCCTGGCAGGTTCTCAGGTCACTTTGTTGCTGTCAAGTGAGCAACTGAATTCCACATGGACTTGGTGTCTGAAGCGCGGAGCCAGGGGCCTACTACTGACAGTGGTGACAGCTGAGTAGTAGGGAAAAAGGGGATACTTCATGGGGCCCCACTTTAAGGCTCTCCACCCTCCCTGCAGAGAAGAAGGAGTGCCGGCGGGACCACCGCCCCCTGTGTGCTCAAGAGGCAACCCGCAACATGGTGCACCCCAATGTGATCTGCGATGGGTGCAACGGGCCGGTGGTGGGGACCCGCTACAAGTGTAGCATCTGTCCTGACTATGACCTGTGTGCTGGCTGCGAGGGGAAGGGCATGCACAAGGAGCACAGCAAGCTCGCCTTCCCCAACCCCTTAGGCCACCTCTCTGAGGTGAGAAGGTCCTCCCTGCGGGCTGGGGTGGGGTGGGGTGGGTATGGGGCGGCGGGAGCCCCCTGATGCAACCCTGCTTGTTCTTCTGCTTCCTCCTCCCCAGAGCTTCTCTCATAGCCGCTGGCTTCGGAAGCTGAAACATGGGCACTTCGGGTGGTCCGGCTGGGAGATGGGCCCACCAGGGAACTGGAGCCCACGTCCGCCTCGGGTGGGGGATGCCCACTCCAGCCCCACAGCGGAATCCGGTAAGCCTTGGTCTGCTGGCTTCCACAGGGCGAGGTGCAAGGGTCACAGAGCTGGAGGACCCCCGGATGCCTGCTGTGCCTGTGGCTGGGCTGGGCACTTCATGGCTGTTCAGGTTATTTAATCCTCACAAACCCCTGCAGAGCACGGATCACCGTCTCCATTTCACAGATGGGAAAACAGGCGCCTAAGTGCCCAAGGCCACCAGTTTGCCTACACTACACCCAGAGTGGGCCCCAGCCAGGCTCAGCACCCCCTTCCCACTGGCCATGCTGCCCTTCTGAGGCGGCCCTCACGAACAGGCAGGGAGGCCCTTCCAGCACCTGCATCTCTGTAATGTGCTCGCTTTGCTTGTGTTAGCTGTCAGGAAAGTCAGAGACAAATTTGGTCAGATCGTTTTGAACAGTCACAAAGTTAAAAACTTACACATAGTTTGCATTCTAGAGTTTTAGATTCTGGTTTTATTATTCCTACTGTGTCCTTTGACTCACCTCATCCTCTGGGACAAAGGTGGGAATATTTGTTTGATTTTGAGTAAATAACATATTTAGGACATGGTTGATGTTTTATACTGCGTGTACTGAGCTGCTCACTGGGTTCCGATCACCAGGGTCACAGATGAAGGGGGATGAAGGAGCCCAGGAGGTGTCCCAGTATGGAAGGGAGAAAGGAAGTACGAGGGGTGCAGGCTGCCAGACAAGGCCCCCGGGATGGAGGACACCTGGGAAGAAGGGAATAAGACCACGTTAGGTATAAAGGTCATTGATAAATGTGCTTTGAATTAAACATACTGTTTTTATTTTTTTTTTAAATTAAAGCTCCTGGTCCGTCGGAGGATCCCAGTGTGAATTTCCTCAAGAATGTAGGGGAGAGTGTGGCAGCCGCCCTCAGCCCCCTGGGTAAGTGGCTGCCTGTCTGATACCAGAGGGGCCTTTTGATAACTGGGTGTGTGGGTGGCTGTTTGTGGCTTTCCCCTGGGGTACTGTGGAGGAATGGTAACACCATGTCCTTGAGATTGATAAGGATTGGTTGCCTCAAGTCAATCTTTGCCAAGTGCTGTACCATAGGCCACTCAAGGTTGAAATCCCTGACAGACTCTCGAGCTTTCCACGTGAGGGCAGTGCAATTAGCTAGCACTTGGTTGGGATAATCCCGGTAGGGAGGGTGACCAGGCTCAGTTGCACGGCTGGCCTGTCAACTGCTGCCTGTCTGTCCTTTGGGGGAAGAACAGTCTGCATTTTCCCCTGACGTGAGCCTTGGGGTTTCCTCAAGGACTTGGGTGAGTAGTTAGTTGTGATGTCTTTTCTCTTTTCCTCCCCTTTTTTTTGCAAACCCCAACTTTTTCTGGTGCTTCCTGAGTGCTGGGCTTCTGTGGTGCAGGGGAGCTCTGCAGGACACCAGGTTCTCAGTGCCTCAGGTTCAGAGTGGTGTCAGGGTGGGTGGACTGTCACATGTGCCCCCTTAGTGGTATGACAGATGGGAGCTTTCAAAAGTATCCCCCGTATCCCCCGCATCCGCTAGTCTGGATGTGGGTACCACAGAGCTAGGCCTTGTGGCAGTGAGAATCAGCTAAAGGTGACATCCTGTTCAGGATTATGATGGAGCCATGATCTCAGACTAGAAGAGAGCTCATCTTTGTGACTGGAAGGAAGTGTGCACCCAGTCTGTCCCAAAGTTGTGTCCAATATCTGAAAGAATGCTGATAGGAGGGTGCCCAAACCCCGCTCGCCATGCACCCTGGGGCTTACAGGGCATGACCACTGTTGCCTCCAACCCAAGACATTTTTTTTAGCTGAGCCACCCTGCCACCTGTTGGCAGCTCAGCGGCAGCTTAGCTTGGGCCGGGCATTGAACCACTGTTGCTCAGAGCTCACATACTTGAGCGAGCTCTTAACCAACTGAGTCACTCGGTTGGCCCCTGAGACATTTCTGCTCACACTCATTCTACCCCTGGACACAGCTTTGAAGCAGCAGCGACATGTTGGCATTGCTGCTCTGTGAAGCAGCTCAGGCCACACGTGGTTTCTTCTTGGAGTGAAAGGCTTTTGAGAGAATGAGAAAAATTAATGGATATTCTGAATGCTTTCCAAGGAGGATAAAACAGGAGCAGTGATAGATTAGAATTGGGCCTAGGTTCCACCTGCCACTCACGTAAGACACAGGGAAGGTGAGTGAGTGGAATTCTGAGAGATTAGAGGCTATAGGGACGTCTCTTTGGAAGACACTAAAGGGACAGTGGTTCTCAAGCTGGCTGAGTTTTAGAATCACCAAAAAAGAGTGTTTTTCTTGGTGTATATTTTAGTGTATGGAAACTTTATTAAAATTATTCTGAAGAACAAAGTCTTTCACTAAAAGAACGAACGAGATGATCTGGGAGGTCATAGAACCAAGTCTAGGTTCAGGTAAGAACTTTCCAACAGTGTGGAGGCCCAGGTACACCTTCCAGAATTTTTTTTTGTTTTTGTTTTTTAAAGATTTTTATTGGGGAATTGGGGAAGGGGAACAGACAAGTTGCTGTCGTTTTTGTTCTTCAGTCTAGTTGTGGAGGACGTTGCTTCATTGGCCCAAGTTGGCATCATCATTGCGCTCTTCCCGGGTGAGGCAGATCAGTTGCCGGCTTCTGGATGGCCGCTCACTGCGGCTGCTGGCCGCTCACGCTGGCTGCTGGCTACATACGGTAGCCCATGGCAACCCACTGCCACAGGGACTGCAGCCTACGCTGACGCCGGCGACTCACAGCAGCCCAGCTCCAGGTTGAGCTGTTGTTCAGCATCTTAGCTGTGGAGGGCAGTGTCACTGGCCCTCATATGTGGGATCTGAACCAGGGCCCTCTGGCGCCCCAAGCCAGTTCTTCACCATCGCGCCACTCGGCTAGCCCCACCTTCCAGAGTTTTGTCTGTGGGTCTTGGTTAGGTAGGGTCTGTGTGTTTCAAAAACTTCCCGGGTAACTCTGGGTCACACTTGCTGTCCATTCTGACACCATCTGAGCTTGTGGTTTGTTTCAGAATTTGACCTGGGTTCCCCACTTAGGACACTGGAAATAATTTTGGACATGCTCAGAAGTCTTTTTGGGAGAAGGATAAAGGCCTTTTCAGATCTTTCAAAGTGGGTGGAGTTGCTTTCTGCCAACTAGGAGGAGCTCGGAGCACCACAAAAGGAGGAAAGTTTCAGTAAAATATGCCTTTGAGTGGTTTCAGTTGAGTCATTCGAGGAACCCAAGAGCCAGTTAAATTCTGCTATTGGAGTTATGGGTAGTTTTTTTTTTCTTCCATATTTTATATTTCCTTTTTTAATTTAATTTTTATTTTTTTTGGTATTTTCTTATGAGGCACTAACAGCTAGGATGACTCACATTGCTAACTGCCTAGAAGGGACTGTTCCCAGAGCAGGGCCCAGAGAGGAGTGAGCCAACACCACCTCTGAGAGGGCAGTCTGTGTACAGTGAGTCATCGACTTTGAAGTGAAAACCCAGGGCCACTTGTTGATAGTTGCTGTGCAAACCATCCGAGTGGGCCCACCAAGGCCGGGGATAGTTCCTGGCTTGAGGTCGCAGCCACTGCCATCTAGGACATAGAACAGCAGGGCCTTCTTCATCACGGGGTCTCCCATAAACATCCCACCCTCGTAAGCCCTGAAGTCTCGGGTAATTGTCAAGTTGGAGAAACCCAGTTCTATAATCTGTCTGATCTTTTTACAGAAAAGTCACATCATTTACCCACTTAACAAAGTGAGAAGAAAGTACATGGTGGTCACTGTACTGTTCTTCCAACTTTTCTGTTTGCTTGAACCTTTCATAATAAAGTTGGAAGGAGAAAAACAATTCAAATATTGCAGATGGGAATACCGGTAGCTAAGCCTGCTTTTATCTTTACTCCTCAAACTTTGCTAAAATAACAGTAAAGGGATTAAAAGTTTAAAGCAATGTGGACAAAGAAAAAGGGGGAAAAGTAATAGAAAACGAGAAAATAATGCCACCAAACTTTGGGAAATGGGACATGGATGGAGGGTGGTAACCAACAGAGGGGCGACATCAGAAACCTTCGTGCCTATGCAGAGTGCTGGCTGCTAGGGGCCAGGAAGGCCAGGGAACAAGGGATGGGCTGAGGACCCTGATTAAGGATGACAGAGACTTTGGGGACCCATGCAACCAGATGATGGCCCTGCCAGCCATCACAGGGGATCTGAGGCACTAGATCTGGAGACGTTTCAGCTGTAGAGACATCAAGGACACAGAGCAGGGTGAAGCACCAGCCTGCAACCTGGGGTCCTGAATGAGCCCGGTCCGGCAGGAGCTGGGCGTCCCTGCTCAGGAAAGGCTGAAAGTGCCCGACAAGAATCCCCACAGTGGTGCCCTCTGGGACCCGGACACCACAGGTGGAAGCCCATGACCTCGTGTGGCATGCTTCCTATCGGCATTTCTTAGTGTTTCCCTAGGACCAGGCAGCCATGGATCACCAACCATTTGGGAGAGCAGGAACTTGGGGAAGAGAACGTTAGCATCCTCAGTGAGATACAAGAAAGTATTTGTATCCAAGAAAAAAAGAACAGGATATCATAAAAATAACAAAGGGAACAAAATATTCTGGTAAATTAAAAAAATAATAATAGAAAAAAAAACTTCAAAAGAATGCTTGGATTTTAAGATCATTTCAAGGAAATATTCCAGAAGCAAAACACATAGAGGCAGGAGGAGATAAAAGATGAGAAAATCCTGGTGGCCCAATCTAGAATGAACAGAAATGCCAGAAAGAGGACAGAAAACTGAAGGGAAGAAGTAAACAAAGAATACACGTTTTTGGCACTAAGGACATTCATCTCTAGATTGAAAGGGATCCCCAAATGCCTTGGACAGTGACTAAGAAAAGACCCGACACCAAAGCTTGGCATAAAGAGAGGCTCCTGAAACCCTCCGGGCTACGGTAAAGGCCTGGGAATTCAGAGAGCAGCACAGCTTTGGAGGCTGGAAGACAGCAGCACAAGCAAGGACTTCTGAAGTCTAAGCTAAAATGGTTTTCAACCTACAATTCTATACTTGGCTAAAATGATCAAGTGTGGGGGCAGGATAAAGTCAGTGTCAGGTATGCAATGTATTAATCACCTTACCTGGCTTGAAACCTTTCTTTGGCCAAAATGAAGAAACAAGTGTTTGAAAATGGGGCCCAAAGTAGGCAGGAGACAGAGGGTGTTGCCAGGAGGAAAGGAAGGTGGGCACAGTGTGAGATCTGCCAGGCCAGGCTGGCGCCCCAGAGGGACAGCCTCCAGGGAAAAAAGCCAGAATTGATGGGGCATCCAGTACACCAGGCCCACATAGGAAACTCTAGAGAAGCTTTGGAGGATATGGGGAAGGTTAGCAAATAAAAAAATGGGCATCATTAATCACTAATGCTCCCAAAACAAAAACAAAAAAAATCTTCAAGGAAATAAGTACGACTTGGGCCCAGCAAAGAACAATATTTATGTAGTGGCACTAACACTGAATGTTGTTTTCATGAAAAACTGAATTTTGGGAAGGACAGGTAAGTATTGATCTTCTAGAGTAAGAAAGAAACAGTAAACTTGAGCAATCAAGACAGAAAGAGCAGCATGGGTTGAAAGTGTCTGGAGAGAGGCTGGGCTCTAGTGGGGGAAGGGATCTTCTATAGCCTTTTGGAACTGTGACTTTAAGTGGTGGGCGGGTAGTCCTTTGAGAAATTAAAATTAATTAAAAACATAGAGGGGCGATTGTGCCCCCCTCACTCTGGTGTGCACGTGCCCCAGAGTGTGAGGCACTGGAGGTGGACACGCCGGCCTGTGCTTCCAGCCTCATGGCCTTGCACAAGCTCTCGGGGCTGTCTGCCTGCCTAAGCAGAATTCTGATGTGTAATATGTGTGGTTGTCACATCATAGTCCCTGGCACACAAGCATGATGTGTCCTGTGGTCCTCAGAACTAGGATGGGGTGCCCTGGTCACATGTATTTGTTCTGCCTGGTTCCTAGGGCCTGGCCCTGCCCATTGTGCAGCTGTAGTCCTGCATGATTAGGAAAAAACAGACCTCTTTCTGACTTTCTGGCTCTGAAATTGACCTGGGGTGTCAGCAGAGATTAGTGTTTTATTAAGCTGGAGGAAACGAAAGGTGTAATATGAGTTTATCTAGAATCCAAGAAGATTTGGGGCTAGCGTATTGGGAGCAGTTTAGCCCTTGGGATTCTGAAGGTCAAAGATGACCATCTCTTTGCTTTCTGGCTGGTGGGCTGGCATCCTTGCCCGGTCTGTACTGGCGGTGTGACTCCCGGTCTGAAGTGGATGCCAGCATCCGACCCTCCCACGCTGGTGGGGCTGAATGTGGAAGGGCATTGTAAGCCTACAGACCACGCGGCTCCCTCCCTGCAGCCACAGCCACGTCCTCTGGAGGACTTACAGGTTCTTGTTTCCTCCACGGCCTCCAGGCATTGAAGTTGATATTGACGTGGAACATGGAGGGAAAAGAAGCCGCCTGACCCCCGTCTCCCCAGGCAGCTCCAGCACGGAGGAAAAGTGCTGTTCTCAGCCAAGCAGCTGCTCTTCCGACCCCAGCAAACCGCATGGTGACATGGAGGGTGCAGCGCAGTCTCTAGCGGAACATCTGGACAAGATAGCCCTGGAGTCAGGGGTGCGGCCTGAGGTAAGCACTGTCTGCGTCTCTCTGCACCCCAGCCATGGCCCCTCCCTGGCACTTACCCCAACCGCAGCCCCTCCCCAACGCTTACACCCCAGCCACAGCCCCTCCTGGGCACTTAACACAGCTGGCGGGAGCCAGGTATGTGGCATTTAAGTTATTCTGTGAATCCTCTCTGAGGACTTGGTAGAGAAAAGTACCCCTCTAGCCCCTGCGTCAGTCCTTACTTGCCCACTCTCCCAGGGACTGAGGCCGTGGGCAGGTGGGCCTGTGGCTTGCGTCCTGTGTGCTCATGGGGGTTTTGTTCCAGGAACAGATGGAGTCTGATAACTGCTCAGGAGGAGACGATGACTGGACTCACTTGTCTTCAAAAGAAGTGGACCCATCTACAGGTGAACTCCAGTCTCTACAGATGCCCGAATCTGAAGGGCCAAACTCTCTGGACCCTTCCCAGGAAGGACCCACAGGGCTGAAGGAAGCGGCGCTGTACCCACACCTACCGCCAGGCAAGTGATTTCAAGCAGTTCGGTACTTTGACCTGTTTTGTTCAGAGCATCTTGTCAGTTGTTTTTAGCAACACTACTGTGGGGCTCGCCTATTGACATGAGAGAAAATCAGGAATTGGGTTTGTCCTCCTATGTCAATACTGAGCCTTGTTAGTGCAGCTCATTTTAGTAATTTCATTTCTAAGACCTAACATCTAGACCTGCAATTACAAAAAAAGGTAGAGATGGCATTGACTTTGGCACTAAAAGTGGGCTCGGAGTCCATCTTCACTGTTTCCTCATGGAGAGTGCTGACCTGAGAGCAGGGGTCACAGCCAAGGTCCCTTCCCTGCAGGAGCCAGGCAGAATGGAAATAAGTGGTATGGCAGGCAGCAGGGCTGGTGGGGACCCACTGAACAAAAGAGGCAGCTGATACTCTGCTCCGCTTCATTACTGTCACATGGCAGTGCTGTTTCAGACAGTATGCAAGTGGAGACCCTTGTGTGATCTCTGTCTTAGAGCAGGCAGACAAACTATGGCCTACAGGCCAGGATGCTTTTCTTATTTTTATAATGGTTGGAAAAAAGACCTGTGAAAATCAGATGAAATTCAAATTTCATTGTCCATAATACAAGTTTTATGGAGCACAGTGGTGCTCATTTGTTTATATACCGTCCAGTTGCCTTTATGCTGCCATGGCAGAGTGAAGTGGTTGTGGGAGACTGATAGTCTGCAAAGCAGCCTAAAATCTATTCTCTGGGCTTTTACAGAAGCAGCTGGCCATTCCCTGCCTTGGAGGGTCCCGTGAGGGTGGGAGACCCTGTGGCCCTGTGGGAGGGCCGGGAGCGTGCTGGCCAGACAGGATGCTGCAGCATACGCAGTTCGCTTGGGGCCCACTGACTCCCTTATGGCTTTTTTACTCTCTGGCAGAAGCTGACCCCCGGCTGATTGAGTCCCTCTCCCAGATGCTGTCCATGGGCTTCTCTGACGAAGGTGGCTGGCTCACCAGGCTCCTGCAGACCAAGAATTACGACATTGGGGCTGCCCTGGACACCATCCAGTATTCAAAGCACCCACCGCCATTGTGACAGTTTTTGCTCACCTCTTCTGTCCCCTTTGTTGTCTCATAGTTGTGTTAAGCTAGTGTAGAACCCCAGTGCCTCTGTAAGGGCCAGTTTCTCCGCATTTTTCTTCCAGAATCGGGGGGTGGGGGTGGGGATGCATGAAGCCATTTAGGGCAGTAGAACAAGTGACATGAGGAGGGAGTTCCCTGTTGTGCTGAGGTCTTGGAATCGTTGACTGGTGGCCCACAGCCTTCCCCCGGCAGAGCGAGACTCCTTGCTGGGAAGGACGCCGAGGCCACCCACATCACGTCCCTGCTCTCCACCCACCAGGATTACACCAGCAGTCCAGAATATATCTTGCCTATGGCCTTCAGCTTTTTCTTTTTTTAAATGACTAGTAGTTGATTTTCTGCTAGAAACCAGACCTACTCCGAGTTTAGCTAGAGTGCAGCCAACACTGTAGGGTGAAGCAGGCGGTCCTGGAGCGAGCACTGGAGAGTGGGCGGCCCAGGATGGGCTTCACACCTGGGAGTAGGGAAGGGCTGATGGGGCCAGTGTTGTTCCCTGAGCGCTGCCTTTTCCATAACCACTGTAGTTCTCTCATTTCCAAGTGTGTCACCTGCTTTGAAAGTATGAAAAGCCCTTTATAGCCATTTTATTCGCATATTTGTAAACAGTCTGTAATTAAATGGTAAAGCACTTTATTTGAAGATGTTACAATGAGATGACCCATTTGACAGTCATGTTTATTGTTGGTTCTTGGTCGTTCCCATAAACCCTCCTCAGTCCTATTTAAAAGCACCTCAGGGAACCTCGTTTCCAATGATGAGTCTAGTGGAGAGGGGCTCAAGTAACAAACACATAAGAGCATTCTAGACTCAGTTCACAGATTGTCATCAAAATCCTCACCAGTGTTAAAGAGGTCACAGAGTCGCAAGAGTGGGGACTCCTGTGCCCCTCTGACCAAGAGCCCACCCTCTGCCCGAGAGCCTGTACCCCACAAGTGCTCAGGGGTCTCCCTGAAAGGTCTCTTGGGCCCAGAGGTGGGAATATGTGTGGCCCGAGGGAGCTGGGGTGCACCGGGGCTCCTGCTAAGGCTCTCTTCTCTTGGGGTCTGAGCCCTGGGGGTGCCCTGCTCAGCCTGCACTGTCCCGGCTGGCCTGAGGCCCCTCTGCAGGGGTATCGGGGGCTCTGTGTCCACATGTGAGCTGTTTCCAGGTGGCAGAAGAAATCGTTCCCACTTAGACAATGTGGCTCTGACCTGCTGGGCGGGATGTGGTGGTTTCCCCCAAGGACCAGTGAGCTCCCTGGTGTTCCAATTATCACGGCTGTTGCCTTCTCTGACCTTCCCCACCAGGCCAGTGGGACCCTGCAGTGGAGACAAGAGCAGGAGACGTCCTCCGTTCAGGAGAGCCAGCTGCAGGCAGGACCAGGGGACAGGAAGAGAAGGGTCCCTGTGCCTGGACTGCTGCTTGTCTCTCCTGGGTTGTGGCACTTTCTGCTGCATGCTCTATCTACTAGCCAGTCCTCGGGCTGCAGGCTAGGGACATGCTTTGATTTTGAGGTTTAGTACAGAGTGAATTCCCTCAACCTCACCCCAAAACCTCTGCCAAATGCCACAACCAGGCTTTCTGCAAAAGGCAGATAATTCTCATGAATTGAGGCACTCGTGTCGTGGGGGTCTGAGAACCAGGCAGGGCTGTGACCGAGAGGAGGGGTGAGCTGGAAGGGACGAGAGGCCATCTTTAAAGGGATGGAGACGCCATCCTGCCTGTTCACTGCCTGCAGATATGAAGGTCCTGGTGAGGGTTCTGAAGCTGTGCAAGTGGCTGCACAGAGGCACCCGTGGGATATGACAATGTCACTGGGCCTTAGCCTCCCCCTTCCACTCAGGAGCCAGTTGCACTGAAAATTGGATTTCACCACCTACAAAGTGATTTAAAAGCAATGACGGGGGGTCCCTGCGTCACCACCCCCCACCCAGGCAGTAGGGAAGAGGCTCTGTGGTCTGTCATTCTGTCAGCTCTGCCACTGACTTGCTGTGACCTTAATGCACCTTCACTAGGTAGTTCCTCACCTTCAAAACAAAACAGGCTTATGGCAGGCATTAAACATAATAACGCAGTTAAAATGTTTCGCCAGGGACTGGCACATCAGTAACTGCCACTATCCTTATGCTATAATTTAGGGATTTGGGGCCACATCCTTACCTGGGTCACAGCCAGTTACTGGCAACACGGGAGTTTGGCCTCTGCCTCCTGTGCTGCTGCCAGAAGCCGGCCAGGCCAGCCATGGCCTACGCTGGGGTGGCAGTGACGGACGCCCAGGAAACCCTCTGCCTGTGCGCCTGTGGCCCTTACAGTGTAAAGCAAAGCCTGCGTTCTGCGGTCTGGAGAGTGCGGTGGGGTCTGCTAGGATGGAAGATTCAAGAACAGGGGCAGACCTGGGCAGAGGGCTCCTCGGGTGCACACGAACACACCTGGGTCAGGGGTGAGGATGGGAAAGGCTCCTCAGAGACCCGGCAGGGCCCGTGCTGCACTCTACACAGCAAAGAGGACGGGCCTCACTCAGAAGCTAGACTGGTCCCCCTCGAGTGCCTCCAAGGCATCGAAGCCCCTTTTTTTTTTTATGATCTTTATACTAGAGAAAAGCAACATCGAACTGCCCTTTTGACTGGGACTTAACAGCACTGAGGAGGAGAATGGTGGGGAAATGGTGCAGGCCACAGAAAGGAGTTGGCTTTAGACAGAAAACACCCAGGAGGGAAGCTGAGGTTTTTGGGAGTTTAAGTCTTGTACTTCAGTTGTCAACAAAACACAGTTAAAATATCCGGGCTGGCCGAGTGGCTCAGTTGGTTAAGAGCTCGCTCAAGAGTTTGAGCTCTGAGCAACAGCGGTTCGATGCCCGGCTCGAACTGAGCTGCCACTGAGCTGCCAACAGGTAGCAGGATGGCTCAGCTAAAAAAAAAAACACAAAAAAAATCCTGTGTGCACTCAATGGTCATGGACCAGAAGAGAAACACTGTCCTCAATCACTGACCTTCTGGGTCTCCAATGTGATCTCAGAGTCCTCCGAGTCCTGGCCATCAGGGCTGCACAGAGGCTGTGCTGTGCTCTGACTCCACCTCCTGGCAGAGGGAAAGTACTGTCAATAATCCAGTCCTATCACCACCGAGTCATCCAGTCTGACAGCCCTGCACAGGTAGAACTTGTCACCCTGTACTGCTTCCCAGGTAGCTGCATAGCTCCTGCCCTAGCGCTGATAATAGGCAGCCCAATGACATCCAAGGCAGTCCACTCCTCTGCTCGCAGTTGCTAGAAAGTTCTTATTTTGAACTGAAATCTACTTCCAGTAGCACTTGCCCCATAAGAGCCACCCTGGATCTAAACAAGGCAGCGTCTCAGAAAACTTTTAAGTCTGGAGAAAAAACTGGTAAAACTCAGGTCTTTCCTGATCTAGGTTAAAAGCTTCCAGGCCTGTCAGCTACTCTGGCCACACTTGGCTTTGTCACCTCTGCCCATGAAATAAATTCTTGCTGAGTTCAGTGCACTCCATCCAAGTTAAGTGAGCATCATAAAGGTGCCCATGGGCACCCTGCCCCTCCCTCAACTCTGATAGGCATCTGGCACCTGGCCAGGCCAAAGGGTGCCCGGCAGTGACATGCCCACTGGCTCACGCCGCTCAGGCTTCGCCCATGACTGGCCACTACAAGCCGTTCATCAGCCCCCCACCCACAGGTCAGCACGGGCATGTGCCGGATTAGTGACTAGCAGGCACCGTTTTCTAGGCAGGCTGGAATTGAAGGGAGGGTCTGGCTTCTCTGTGGTGGATGAGGGTCGTCTGTTGAAACACACTGCTCCTTCTAGCTCCAGCTCTCCGGAGCACTTTTCTAGGTACTTCAGCCAGCGGTTCTCGGAGGGCTGGAGTTGTTCCTATGGGATTGGGAGGTAAGTTTCTTCTCAGAGTTGGAAGGCAGGCACTTCTACTGAAAATCCCCCGCCCCACTTTGAGGCCGAGGGTCTCAGGACCCACGTGCACCCCGCCACCAGGAGAGGCGTTTGGCTGGAAGGTAATGGGAGGCGCAGCGGTGCGCCCCGGGGGCTGCAGGGTACAGCTTATCAAGCTCTTGGCGGATGGCCACGCTCCCTGGCCCAGTGGCTGCAAACTAAGACAAAGGCACAAAGGTGCTCACTAAAGTGTTATAAAAATAGTAAACATTTACAGTAGCCAAAGTTTGGAAACAACCTAAATGCCCGAGAAAAGAGTAAATATTGGCACATCCACTGTATCCTGAAGATACTTTTTAAAAGTGAAAATCACTGAAAACAATAAGCAACACAGAAAGACAAGTGAAAATTCCAGGATGCAAACTATTTCTTACATGAACGATGTAAAACTAAGGCTGTAAAGTGGACACAATTAGAAGTACAGATCCAAATATGCAAGAGCTGCTGTGTTCAAGTGGAGTGCTTAGACCACTTCCTCTGCTTATAATAAAAATATGAAGATGGAGAGAGGATATTGCCAAAGCGATTCTGTGAGCAGAGGCCAGGCCCTGTCCTTGGGTAGGCAGGGAGCCTCTCTGTTGTCCCCACTCTCCCTGTCCCTGGTAGGACACAGTGTTCCACATACCTTCGGCATCTTGGAGTCCCTACTGCGTCACTCAAGCTCCCACACACACTGTCCGCCCACACTGTTTGAGCACCTATTTTCTAGGCACCCGGGCAGAACTGATGTGAGCCCCACTCTCAGGCTCAGTCTGGAGAAAGGGAACACAGAACCCCAGGTTTCTTACAACAGCATCCTTTCTTTACCCAGAGGTGTGCCCAGAGCACGGAGCGACAACGGGAGAAGCACAAGGAGATGAACCTCAAGAGCTAAGTTTCGAGTTCTCCAAGCAGACAGAAGAAAAAGCCCTTCACAGAGACTGGAATTATTTGTACACATGGCAGTCTCTACCCTTACAAAAGTGACAGGTTTATTCATTTTTATGTTTCTTGTAGCTTTAAGCCGAGTGCCTGTCATTCAGTGGCAACAAGCATTTACTGAACAAATGACTAATGGGTGACTAAATGAAACCCCCACCCCCACCCCCACCCCCACCCTGTGACATGGAGCCGGCCCAGGTCGCTGGGCTTACCTGCAGACTCACATGCTCAGTGTGCCCAGGACCTGCTGCATCTTTCTCTTCATTAGCATTTACAGGTTCTTCCAGAGACCTTAGGAAAAGATTGTACAGGTCTTTTGTAAAAGGACCAGGAAGATGAAGGGCAGGAAGGTGGGAGGAGCAGGATGCAAGGACTTGACGACAAATAGCAAAGACTTCTCGGGGACCTTAGCATCTTAGCTCTGTTGTTTTGATGGAATTCAGTAATCTTCTAGCAGTTTAGAAGGCCTGGGCAGAGGGACTATTTCTTCCTCAGATTTAGGCTAGTCAAACCCTCCATCAGGAGAAGTGACACAGGCAGAGGGGCAGATGCTTAACCCAGAGAGACCACAGTATGCATCCTGGTTTTGCCAATGACTGGCTGTCACTGTCACGGTGTGACTGTTTCTTCATCCACAATGGGTGACTGTGATAAATGAGACAATGTGTGCACAGGCCCTGCAACACTCAGCAATGTCAGCTGAACTCCTGTAGCACACAGTCCCTTCTACCAGCAATGGTGTCCCCATTGCACAGGGTCACACGAGTCTTTATGCACTATGAGAGAAGGCATTCCTGAGGCCACAGTGGAGACTTCCAGGGACAGAGGGCTCTTCTACCACATGAAGAGGAGTGAGGAGCCTTCCTTTCTCTCCAGCCTTGAGTGGGCTGATGGCCAGGGAGAACATTTACTGTGAGAGCCAGAGCCACGTCTGTCCATGTCAGACAGGGTTGTTCCAGTGCATGATCAAACTGGAACTCTCTCGAGTGAACTTCGAGAACCCAACACTCTACCAAATGTGGGCACCTCTCCTTCAGTTGTTCATCCATAAAAAGAAGTCAATGATCCTCACAGGGTGACTCTGAAGATGAAAGGAGATTATGCATGTGGGACGCCTGCCCTGCACACTCTAACCTTATGATTCTGGAACTCCATCAACTAAAGGACATCTGCCAGCAACCTGAAGATTCTAGTGTGTCTTCTTGCTTCTAATGTCACCACTGAGAACTTGGGTGTCTTCTATTCCTTTGTAGGTGATCTTGCTTCTCTCCAGCTACTTTTCAGCTCTTCCCTTTGTCTTCTGTGTTCTGCAGTTTCATTATGTTGTTGTGACTAAGGCCACATTTTTTAACTTTTAAAATTACCTTATTGAGGTATAATTAATATACACAAAAACACACCCATTTATGTGTACAGTTACTAAGTTTGGCTAAATTATACCTTGGAAACTATCACCCCAATTAAGATGTAGAGAAAATTTTTTATTGAGATATAATTGACAAGACATAGAAAATTTTCATTACCCCATAAGTTCCCTTCTGTGTCTTTGCAGGCAATTCCCCCACCCCTCCAAAAAATGGCTGACACTGTAATGTGTGGTCCTTTGCATCTGGCTTTCAGTGTTTTTGAGATCTGCCCATCTTGTTTTGTTGCTGAGTAGTATTCCATTGTATGACCATACCACGATTTGTTTGTTCTTTCACCTTCTGATGTATCTGTATGTCTAGCCTTTCACCAATATCATACTGTCTTGATTACTGTAGCATTATAATACATCTTGAAATCAGGTTGTAGAAGTCCTACAACGTTGTTCTTCTTATCAAAATTGTTTCAGCAATTCTAGGTCCTTTGCATTTCTATATGAATTTTAGGACCAGTTTGTCAATTTCTACAAAAAAGAAAAAAAAAGGCTTCCGGAATTTTGATTGGTATCAGGTTGACTCTAAGATCAATTTAAGATGAAATTACGATATTGAGTTTTCCAATCTATGAACTTGTTATACCGCTTCATTAATTTAGACCTTTAATTTCTCTTAGCATGTTTTATACTTTTTACTGAACAGATCTTACATTTTTGGTTATATTTATCATTAAGCATTTCATTTTTTGATGCTATTATAAATGATATTTGATTTTTAAAATCATCGTCCAATTGTTCACTGCATTTATATAAAAATAAAATTTAATTTTGTATGTTGACCTTATATCCTTGTGATCTTGCTAAATTAACTTACTGGCTCTAGTATCTTTTGTGCAGGTTCATTAGGATTTTCTACATACACGATGTCTTTGTCCAGTTTGGGATTTACTGTGTTTCATGAATCTAAGAATGTAAGCCTTTGGTTCTGAAAAATGCTCTGTTCTTTTCTCTGCAAATATTGCCTTTGGTCCATTCTCTTTATTCTCTCTTGCTGGAACTCTTCTCTGTATTCTCCAGCCTCTCAGCTCATATTTTCCACCTTTTTATCTTTCTGTATGGTATTGTGAATAATTTCTTCAGGTTTATCTTCCATTTCACCAATTCTCTCTTCAGCTACACTTAGTCTGTTTAATTTGTCGCCTACAATCTTAATTTCAATGACTATACTTTTCATTTCTACAAACGCTTTTTGGTTCTTTTTTCAAAACTACTTGGTTATTTTTTAAAGGCTTTAAAGGCTCCTATTACCAACCCTCTCTTTTATTTCGTGAAATATAGTAAACATACATTATGTGTTCTGAAGTCTTTGTGGATCTGATTTTTCTGTTGTTCTGCTGGTTTTTTTTCCTCATGGTGACATGCTTCCTTGACTGTTTAATGACTGTTAGCTCTGAGTTATATGCTCGTTGGAACTTGATCTGTGGGAACTCTTTCAGGCCTGGGTTGAAGATGCATTGCTCCAGAGAGGAGATGCATTACCTCTGCTTCCTGGGACAGTTTGAAATAAACTCTTAGTTTGAGGCTTTTCATACAGTGTGTGTGAAGGTTGAAAAGACACGTGGCAGCTTTCTTGTGCTTATAAAATCCTAGAGCCGTATTTCCCCTCTTTGGCCAGTGCCAAGGTCAATACAGCTGGCTTCTTGCTGCAGAGAGGGTGCATTTCATTTGTACACTGCACGTGCAGTCCTTTGGCGATTCAGCTGTAAGTGGCAGTCTCCTCCTGACCTTCCCACGCTGAGCCAGCCGTAGGCTTTGCCCTTGTCTCCTGCACCCCTCCCAGCCTTCTAAACGGAAGCTCTAGGACACCAGGCTTCAGTCGCTGCCACGGCCCAGGTGCTTACTCTCTGGATTTTGGCTTTTGCTTCATTTCTGACCTCTAATTAGCTATTTACTTTTTGGCATCTCATTAGTGCATTTAAAATATCAGAGCTGGGATTTTTAATCATTTCCAGCGGGAAGATTGTTTAGGGTATCTAACTGCCGCATTGGAAGACCTGGAAATCGAAAGGATTTCACCACTGGATCCCTCCACTACCCACCCATGATAACCATGTGCCTCTTGGACAACTGTACCTGAGTGACATCTCAGAAACCTGTCCCTGTAGCAGATTTAATTTTTGGACATGGCGTCTACAGTCGGCACCAGAGCCCTCACCGTAAGCCTGAGAAACAAACAAACAAAAATATTACATTTAAAAAGTGTTGACAGAGTACTGAGAAACTGACCTATTAGAGATGTGCTTCAGGGAGGGGAGAGCTGTATTTTGTAAGGCCCACAGAAGCACCATGCAGAAAAACAATAACTGACTGCTATTTTACGAGTGATTTACAAACTCACAGTCCCAGCAACTATTAGTTTCAGTCTATCTGGCTGCCCACTAGCACCCTAAACTCTACATATCAAAGCCAAACTCAACTCAAACCCCACACAAAATGGTTAATGAACATAAGAAATTCAGAAGTAACACAATTTGTCAATAAACATGAAATGATACATACCCCTCACTGATAAAAAAAAAACTAATTAAAATGAAATACTTTTTTTCATTTAGCAATCACTCATTTATCCAATAAATATTTATTGATTGAGCACCTATTATGTGCCAGGCCCTGGACCAGGTGACAATATAGGAGGACACAAAAGTCACTGTCATCATGAAGCTCACATTCTACTGAGAGGAGACAGACAATAAATATATGTCAGCTATATGGCCATAAGATGTGAGAAGTGTTACCGAGGAAAATAAGGCCATGCAAGAGGGTGGGGTAATGTGGGGACAGAGCACACAATTTTTTTTTTAAAGATTTTATTGGGGAATTGGGGGAGGGGATCAGCCAAGTTGTTCTTCAATCTTAGTTGTGGAGGGCGCAGCAAGCTCAGCTCCAAGTCCAGTTGCGCCGCTCAGCTCAAGGTGCTGGGTTCAATTAGTTGTGGGTGGGCGTAGCCACTATCCCATGCAGGAGTCAAACCAGCAGCCTTGTTGTTAAGAGCACATGCTCTATCCACTGAGCCATCCGTGTGGCAGCTCAGCTCAAGGTGCCGAGTTCAGTCCTAGTTGAGAGTGGGCGTAGCCCACCATCAAACATGCAATCTTCTTGTTACACCAGCTGAGCCATTCTGCCACCTGTTGGCAGCTCAGCTCAGCACAGCTCACTGGCCCATGTGGGAATTGAACCAGCGACCCTGTTGCTCAGAGCTCGCACTCTTGAGCAAGCTCTTAACCAACTGAGCCACTCAGCCGGTCGGACAATTTTATATAGGGTATTTCAGTTGGCCAAGGAATGGATCACTGAGAAGGTGCCATTTGAGCACAAAATAGGAAGCTGTGAGGAAGCAAGCCATGTAGATACCTGAGTGAAGAATGTTCAGCAGAAGGATGAAACGTGCGTGCAGAGACCCCGAGCCTGGCATTTTGGAGGAACAATGCGGAGGCCACAGTGGGAGCTGAGTGGTCTAGGGAAAGATGGTCGGAGACGACATCTGCGTCAGCTTCATGAACAGGAGACCTGCCCTGCTGTTGTCATCTTGAAATTCTTAATCATCTTAATTTTGAACTTGAGTTTTATCAGTGAAGTCTGATGGGACACTGGAGCATGTCTGTGAGCAGAGGAGATACACACCATGTGTCCACTGTTCTTTGCCACCCCATTTGCATACAGCATGCTTGATGTCCCACGAGCACTGGAATTCCAGTGGACTCACAATGCGCGGGAGTTCAATGAGACTCCGCGTGCAGTGTGCGTCTGTGCGTGAGTGTGTGGGGGCACCCAAGAGGCCAGGCTTACCACTGGACCCAGGACTTTCTTCAGACACAGAAAGAAGGCAAATGCCTTCAAAAAAACACGAACTTCTGAGGAACTCTCATAACTTTTCTCATTCCTGTCATTTCCCAGGAGTAGCCAATCACTCATGTGGAAATGACGATACAGAAGGTAGGGAAAGATGGGGCAACTCATGGTTCCTTTTCCTCTCGGTCCTTCCTTACAGCAGTGAGCTGTGGGTGAAGAGTGTGAGTATAGAATGTGCGCATATCAAGAAGTGAAGCAAAAACGGCTGAGTTAATTCTGCAACATTTCCACTGTTCTGGTAAGAAGTACGTAGGCATGTATGAGCTGTGAAGTACACACTGTGCAGTTTTCATGATTCTGTGTCTATATTAAGTGCTCTTTTATTACTCCATATATATTCTAAATGCTCTTTGAGTTTAAAACCGCTGTTGCACTATGTAAAGATAAATGGTAAAATTCATGTCAAAAATTTAAAATGTTAGTTTTCTTTACTTAGGAAGACATTATGTAGTAAATAAAAGACATCATGAAAAGTTGAGAGGCCATGAAAGAAAGGAAGAACTTAATATCTTAGTAGCTTGAACCGCAGCTTTTTGTTTTATACTGCCCCTCCCCCAACCCTGTCTGTAGGACCATGGGTTTTGCTCATCTCCTCTGAGTTGAGGAGTGGCATGACCCAGCATGTTTTAGTCGGTTTCTTTGGCTGGGGTGCTGAGAATAGGCTTTACAGCTGAAATGGGCCAGTCAGGACGCTGCTGCAAACATTGAGGTGGTTCAGTGGTCAGCGACCTATGGTACTGAGATGGGGAATAAAACTTTGAGCTTTCTGTACTGGAGGGCGCATACACTCCAGGACATTGGCCCATCAGGATACACAAGGTGAAGGACCTGGATGCTCAAGACTTGTCCAGGACATAAACGTTGCATCCAGCTCCGATACATTTCACACGAAGGATGTCACATTTAGGACGCTGAAGATGTTTTTAAAATAGGAAGTTTATAAGAACGGAGCCCAATGAGATTAGAACTGTTTAGAAGTTTTTCGCTGGGCCTTATGTGCTGGGTCCAATGGAATGATTTTTATAATTCTGAGCAGGTTACCAAATGAAATGTCATGACTGTACTCTGGTTAATTAAAGGGGAGAAGTTTTTAAAAAGTCATTTTAGTAAAAAGCGGTCAGTCTGAGTATATTCTGAAGGTAGAGCTGACAAAATTTGCTGATGCATTGGATGAAGAGTGTAAAAGAAAATGAGGAGTCAGCAATGACTTCAAGGTTTTTAGCCCAAACAATGAGGAAGGGGGACACAGTACCTAAGAGACGGGGATGACTGGTGGGAAGAGGTGAGGTGAGGGCTTCCATTTTGGGATGCCTGTTAGGTAGGTAAGTGGGTGGTAGCATTCACAAGTTCAGGGGCAGACCTGGGTCTGTGACAGACATTTGGGCGTGGTCAGATGATCTCAACTCAGACCAGTAAGGGAATGAGGGTAGCTAGAGAAGAGGTAAGAAAACCCTTAGTTCCACAGCACTCTAATTTAGTTTAGAAGTTGGGCAAAAACTAGCAGAGGATTGAAAGAAACACAGCCAGGAAGATAGGAGGGGAACCGGGAGCAGGATGACTAGAACCCAAGTGAAGACAATGTTTCGAGGAGGAGGAAGTGACAAGCTGTGACAGGTGTCACCAATGAGTCAAGTCAGCTGAGGAATGAGCACTAACCGTTGTTTCAGCAACATGGAGATCATGGCTGACTAACACGAGCAATTTGAGTGGACTGGTCGGGAGTGAAATCCCTTTTGGAGCAAGTTCAAGTGAGAATGAAAGGAGAGAAACCAGAGAGGGGAATGGCAAAGTTTAAAGACTGGTAACCTGTATCTAGCGTAACAGTAGGGCTTATGCTCTCCTGCAAGGCAGACACCACTGCATTCTCCCTTCTCTGGGCACAGACCAGACTACATTTCCCAGTATTCCTTGCAGTCAGGTGTGGCCATGACACTAGGTTTTTTTCCACTGGAATGTGAGCCACTCCCAGGCTTGGCCCCTAAGCCTCCTGGTAGCTCCTCCATGCTCTTGCCCCTTTCAGTGGCTGGAGGAGCAGGAGGCAAGCCTCAGGGAATGACAGAACCTCAAGACAACAGGAGCCTAGGTCTCCAAATGACCAGGCCAAGGACAGCTGCCCTGCTGACCTCAATACCGCCCAGGACTGTTATAAGAGCAAGAGAAACAACTTGTACTGTGCTAAACCAGCACAAATTTGGTGTCTGTTACTGCGGCCTAGTCAGCCATAAGTCATATACCACTGCAAATGCATGGAGGTGGTCAGAGGATGGCAAAGCCTCCTCAGGGAGAATTTGACACCTAAAACAAGCAGAGTCACTATGCAGGGTGTTAGCCTAGCTCATGAGCCAGCCTGTCTTCAAGACCCAGTCTCAGGGTGGGCCTCAGCAGCTACCCTTGCTGACTGATGACCTGATAGCCCCCACCCCCTCCATCCCCAGCTGATTAGCCCAGAGGTGGACATCTGAGTCAACAGGGCCAATTAGACCACTCCTCCCAGGAGTAGATAATGGAGACTCGGCTGGTCCAGCTGGCTTGAAATAAGATTCTGTGGTCTGAGTGGAGTGTGTACTGTGAACTATCTAGGAAGAGAGAGGAAGGGGAGGAAGATGCAGGGAGAAACCAGGTGAGGGGAAGGGAAGGAAAGAAAAGACAATGCCTGCATTGTCGGCAGCTTTTTAGTTCCTGGGACAAGCTCTTCAAGGGGTCAGGGATGAAGCGCCGTCCTTCAAGGATTTCCCATCACCTTCCCAGTCCATGTTTTTATTTTGCTGAAGGCATTCTCAAGTGTTTTCTTTCTATTATTTGCAACTAAAAAAACTTTGGTTAAAAGATATCCTTTGAAACAGCAATTCAACTTCTAGGAATTTGTCCTAAGGAAATAACTGATCATGTAAAGAAAGATGCATTTGTAAGGAGCTTCATTGCAGAAGATGTTCAAAACAATGAAAACTAAAATCAACCGAAATGCCCACTGATGTAGGACTGGTCATTTAGTCACTCAACAAATATTTACTGAGCACTTACCATGTGCCGGGAGCCGCTGGATGTCTGGGACACTTTGTCTTAGAGTTTTAAAAGACTTGAGTTTGGAAATGACCAGCTTAATCTGAATGGGCTAATTATCATTTAATATCTCAATACTATTTGGTTAAAATATAGTCTACAGAAGTCAAAATTGGCCTTTTCTGTGGCGAGCCGGAGGTCTGCAGTAAGGGTTAAGCCTGGCTGCTGACAAGCTAACAGGCTTTCAGGCCCGGGTGAGCAGTGTGGGAAGGTTGCTAGATAAATCTCATTCTCCACTGTGCTGCTGCAAGCC